GCGCTGGGATGCAGGAGATGATCCCTGCCAATGCACTGGGATGCTCAAGTGCTTGGGTTCTTGCCACATACGTGGGAGACCCGGATGGAGTCTCCTAGCTCGTGACTACTTTCAGCCTGGCCTACTCCTGGCTGTTGTGGGCATTTGGGGAATGAACCTATAGGTAGAAGATGTGTGTGTTTGTGTGTCTGTGTGTTTGTGTCTCTCTCTGCCACTATGTCTGTCAAATAAGTAAATATTTTTTTATTTTATTTTTTTAAAGATTTATTTATTTAGTTGCAAGTCAGGGTTACACAGAGAGAGGAGGAGAGGCAGAGAGAGAAAGAGAGAGGCGTCTTCCATCCACTGTTACACTTCCCAGTTGACCACAGTGGCCGGAGCTGTGCCAATCCAAAGCCAGGAGCCAGGATCCTCTTCTGGGTCTCCACAAGGGTGCAGGGGTCCAAGGAGTTCGACCATCTTCTGCTGCTCTCCCAGGCCATAATAGAGAGCTGGATCGGAAGTGGAGCAGCCGGGACTCGAAATGGTGCCCATATGGGATGCTGGCACTGCAAGTGGCGGCTTTACCTGCTATGCCACAGCGCCTGCCCCCAATAAATCTTTTTTAAAAGAGGCCGGCGCTGCGGCTCACTAGGCTAATCCTCCGCCTTGCGGCGCCGGCACACCAGGTTCTAGTCCCGGTCGGGGTGCCGGATTCTGTCCCGGTTGCCCCTCTTCCAGGCCAGCTCTCTGCTGTGGCCCAGGAGTGCAGTGGAGGATAGCCCAAGTCCTTTGGCCCTGCACCCCAAGGGGGACCAGGATGAGTACCTGGCTCTTGCCATTGGATCAGTGCAGTGCGCCGGCCGCAGCGCGCTGGCAGCAGCGGCCATTGGTGGGTGAACCAACGGCAAAGGAAGACCTTTCTCTCTGTCTCTCTCTCTCACTGTCCACTCTGCCTGTCAAAAAAAAAAAAAAAAAAAAAGTAACATTGTAGGGGTTAAATCTCTGCCTGCAGTGCCAGCATCCTACATGGGTGCCAGTTCATCTTGGCTGTTCCATTTCCAATCCAGCTCCCTGCTGATGTGCCTGGAAGGGCAGTAGAAGATGGCCCAGGTGCTTGGGCCCCTGCTCCTATGTGGGAGACCTGGAGGAAGCTCCTGGCTCCTGGCTTCAGCCTGGCCCAGCCTTGGGCATTGTGGCCATTTGGGGAGTTAACCAATGGGTAGAGGATCGATCTCTCTTTTTTCTCTTTCATCTCTAACTCTGCTTTCAAATAAATAAATGAATCTTTAAAAAATAACATTTAAAAATAGCTATTTCAAGATGAATAAATGCTTTCATCAGATGAAAATACTAATAATATATTTTTCCATGTTATTTTGACAGGTTCCTGCACTATTTTGAAGGAATTCATCTTGATATTCCAAAAGAGACTGTGAATAACTTGGCAGCTGATTTTCCTTAATCTTCTACATTAACTTTGTACAAATTATGTGGTCCTTAAGATATTTTTGTATTATGTTGATTTTCATAGAAGAATTTTTCTTGATGTACATTCAAAACAGACTATTTGTATATTTTTTATTTTGTGCATATATTTAAAATGAAAAAATTTGAGTTACAAGTTGTATATATGATTGTGGTAGTTTTTTTTCCTGGAGTTTTTGTATTATCTGATTTTGCTTTGTTGGAGTATTTTTTGTGGGTGTGAATGAACTGTTTCTGGAAGGGGGAGTTGTCCTGATATTTCTATAATTTTCCCGTTTCCTGTACCCTCAATCCACCCCTCTCCTACCAGATATGGTGCTCTGTCAAGTTGTAAATATGAACCACCTAGATGGTCTTTTTAAATTGTTTACACAATACAAACATAAGATTACATATGTAATACATAAGGAAACTTCCTACGAAGAAAATACGCTTCAAGTCTCAAAAGGATCTGATGAACTGATTTGTAGTACTGTCCCCCAGCGTGTTTTACCATTGAATCAGTGAATGCTGACAACATAAGATCAAGATTATAAATTAGTTTTTCATAAATCTTTTTTAGCGGCCCTGTGGTATCATGTATATTTGCCAGCTTGAATCATTTGTCTTGTACATTTTGCTTGTATTTTTATTTCTTGATGTTTTATTTCATAAAGATATTAATGACATTAATATATCAGTTCTGTATGAGATGCTGTTGATTGAATTAAAACTGTAGCAGGTGTGTGTTTAGCATGGTGGTTGGGATGCCTGTGTCCCATATCAAAGCATTTGAGTTCAGTGCTCAGCTATGACTCCTGATGCTGTGTTCTTGCTAATGCAGACCCTGGGAGGCAGCAGTGATGGCTGAGTTCCTGCCACCCATGTGGGAAACCTGCATTGAGTTCCAGACTCCTGGCTTCAGCCTAACCAGGCCCAGCCATTGAGAGTATTTGGGGAGTGATCCAGCAGGTAGGAGCTGTCTTTCTGCCTCTCAAAAAATAAAATGATTTTTTTTTAAGATTTATTTATGTAGTTGAAAGGCAGAGTTAGAGAGGAAGAGACAGAGCAAGCTTTCATCTGCTGGTTCACTCCCAAGATGGCTGAAACAACGGGAGCTGTAGCAGGCTTAAGCCAGGAGCCAGGAGCTTCATCCTGGTCTCCCATGTGGGTGGCAGAGGCCCAAGTACTAGGGCCATACTCTGCTGCTTTTCCTAGGGAAAAGCCTTAGCAGGGAGCTGGATCAGAAGTGGAACAGGTGGGACATGAACCAGCTTCATGTGCCGACATTGCAGGCAGCAGGTTTTTTTTCTTTTTAACTTCCTGGCAGCTATAGTAGCCAGTTCTTTTTGGATTTTCCATTTTAAATATTTATTTATTTATTTGAAAGTTAGTTACAGACAGAAGGAGAGACAGAGAGAGGTCTTCCATCCTTGGGTTCAGTCCCCAAATAACTTTAACAGCAGAGCTTCCTCTGGGTCTCCCACTTGGGTGCAGGGATCCAAGCGCTGGGGCCCTCCTCCACTGCTTTCCCAGGCCATAAGCAGAGAGCTGGATTGGAAGAGAAGCAGCCAGGACACGAACCAGCAGAGATGAGATGCCAGCACTGCACGCAAAGGCTGTGCCACTATACCACGGTGCTGGTCCCAGTCAGTTGTACTTTAAAGTAGCTCCCTGGGGTGGGCATATGTTGCAGCATGTATGACTCCACTTGGAAGATCCATGTTCAAGATCAGCTCTGCTTCCAATTCCAGCTTCCTGCTGTTTCAGATCCTAGGAGGCAACAAATGATGGCTCAAGTAGTTAAGTCCCTGTTGCCCACATGAGACCCAGACTGAGTTCTTGGCTCCTGGCCTGGCTGGCCCTGACTGTTGTAGACATTTGGGAGTAAATTGATAGATGGGAGCTTTCTGTGCATCTGTCTCTTTGCCCTTCAAATAAATAAAAACAAACATGTTTTAAAATCAAACAGCTCCCTTGGGTCTCGTGCTATGCCGAAGTAGGTTAATCCTTCACCTGTGGTGCCAGCATCCTATATGGGTGCCAGTTTCCTGGCTGTTCCTCTTCCGATCCAGCTCTCTGCTATGGCCTGGGAAAGCAGTGGAAGATGGCCCAAGTCCTTGGGCCCCTGCACCCACATGGGAGATCCGGAGGAAGCTCCTGGCTCCTGGATTTGGATCAGCCCCGCTCCGGCCACTGTGGCCATTTGAGGAGTGAACCAGCGGATGGAGGACCTCTCTGTCTCCCTGTCACTATCTGTAATTCTGCCTTTAAATAAACAAAATCTTTAAAAAAAAAAAACTGCTCCCCATTTCAGATGTTTATGTTAGCTTAATGTTCAGGAAAATTATCTGATGAGTTATATAAACTCAAGTTAGGATCTGTTTTGTATTTTGAAAAATACAGAGGCACACTCGGTCACAGATACGTATGATGACGTTTGTACCCCTTATTTATTCAGTGTAGCTTTTCTTAGACTGGTTAGTATATTGACCTAATTGAAGGTTAAACCAAAGACGTAGTATTTGAACAGCAGTTCAAAATGTAATCATCCTGGTAAATGTTCTAATTTGGTATTTCATTATGGGAAGACGATTACTCTCATTCTATAACTTAAGAGGCTAATGCTAATTCCTTAATTATTTATAACATTGGTCAGTTATTTTTTTAAGATTTATTTGTAAGGCCCAAGGGACAGGCCAAAGTCAGGATCCTAGAACTCAACCCTGGTCTCTGAGGGCTTGGGCCATCTCCCGCTGTTTCATAAGCATCATTATCAGGGGTTGGGTCAGAAGCAACATTACAGGCGGCAGCTTGACCCACTGATCATCTTCCAAGGTGTTCGGTGGAGCTAGTTCAAGGATGATGGATATAAGGTTACAGCTGGAGCCACAGGTTTTATATTGTGTAGGTTCAGAGGTCATGTCTTAGATTTCATCCCTGTGGCAAGAATCTTCAGAAGCACTGTTGTCTACTTTTTCTAGAGTTTCTCCTGTAGACCACTTACCTGTGCTTCATTAGGAAATTCTTGTAATTCTCACCAACTGGTGAATCAATGTAACTCCACAGATTTGTATTCAAATCATTAAAATTCAAGAAATAAATAATGAGGGTATTTTCCCAACAGGGACTCATTTTTCTTAGGTTTAGTACAGTTGGGAAAAGTTTTTATCCTTTTTAAGATTTATTTATTTATTTATTTGAAAGTCAGAGTTAACACAGAGAAAGAAGGAGAGGCAGAGAGAGAGAGAGGTCTTCCATCTGCTGGCTCACTCCCCAATTGGCCACAATGGCTGGAGCTGCGCAGATAGGAAGCCAGGAGCCAGGATCCACTTCTGGGTCTCCCAGGCAGGTACAGGGATCCAAGGACTTGGGCCATCTTTTACTGCTTTTCCAGGCCACACCAGAGAGCTGGATCAGAAATGGAGCAGCCGGGACTCGAACCAGCACCCATATGGGATGCCTGCACTGCAGGTGTCAGCTTTTACCCACTCCGTCACAGCGCCGGCCCCTGCAGGGCATGTTATTTACCACTTATCCCAAATGGCAAAGACTGATTCATAAAATATTTATTGATTTGAACTTGGTTTAGCCTTGTGTAAACCACTCAACAGCTGGAAGTCTGAACATCTGTAATACAGGTACAATGTATTTTCTTCTTCATTTATATGGATGTTCAGAATCTCTGGTTTTACAACGTTAGGGCTAATAAACTGTAAATATACCAGTAGAGCAGGTGTATTAATCTCAGAACTCTAAGGCTCATTGTCAAAAACTACTAATTCGTAGAAGGCAACAGCCTGCAGTAACGAATCGTACAACTCTTCGATCCTGTGAGGGTCGGTCGCTGAGAACAGCTGTCTGTAGCGCACTACTTTATCTGCCGGGAAGCACACCCGAGGCTGCGCCTTCAGGACAGACTCCGAGAGGAGCTGCTTCACCAGGTCCTTCCCACTCGTCCTCGTGTCGCCAATCATCAGCTCAAAGTGCTTCCCCACGGCGCTGCGATGCATGCTCAGCACCTGGTGCAGGCCGTCCTGCGCGAACGTCCTGTTCAGCAAGGCGTACAGCATGGCCTCCGTGATGTGAAAGTGCAACAGGACGGGGAACAGGGAGGCGTTCTGAAGGGAAAGTCCTGTTTTTTCCAGAACATAGAAATCTGCTTTAGGCATCTTTGAAATGACTGAAGAAATCTTTAAAAGAAAAAACAAAATGAGTGGTCAGAAATAATTCATTAAGTTTTACATTTGGGTCCCCTTCTCTCCCACTTCTGTTTGCATTCATTTTGAAATAAAAGGTATTTTGTAGGCAGTCAGGTTCTGGTCATGGTTCCATGAGGAACAAGCTGAACTGAGACGAGTTGTTTAGTTGTCCTAAGTACCAGTTTCTTATCTATAAGATGGGCTTCATGACTTCTAAAATCTATGCTGACTTTAAATGACAGTTTCATCAGGGCAAAGCACGGAGTCAGAATAACCAGCCAAGAATCAAGCGCCTCTGCAACTGACTAATCACACCATGCACTTGCCTGAACTGGTTTTCCTGTGTGTAGTCAAGGCAGTAACTCCTGCCCATTTCACAAGGTTTTGAAAATAAAAGCAAGTCGTGTATCTGCCAGAGCTTAATGTCTGAAGATCTGAATATTGAATATACACGGCGCTGTTACCACTGCATGAACACCTGTTGCAGCAAAAGGCATTTCTTGAGCTAACTGAAGAAAAGATTCATTTTTTAAAAATCAGAGGTGACAAAACGTAACAGTTATATGAGTAATAGTTCCAAAAGAAAAGCTATCCTTTTGCATTACATTCCTCTTGGGACTCAAAGGTAAAACTATATATAAGGAGCCACGTAAGAATACAACTGGAGCTGCCCAAGTAGCAGGAACTGGATGTACAACCGCCTTACCTCTTCTAAGTAGGCTGAGGAGGGGTACGTTCTGCTCATTAATCTCCAATAGTCACTTTGCTGCCAGTCCAACACCGTCAACTTGCGATCAACATGAGCCCAGGCAATTCTTCGAGTACCAAAAACAATAGATACAATACTGCTAACTGCCTAAAAGAAAAAGGTTTAATTATCTGTGAACATTTTAGCAGACACAAAACCTAACCCACAAACTCAAGATGCCTACCTAGTTTATGTAATATGCACTTATTTACAGTTTATGAGCTGAGAGTTTTGTTTTTTTTTTTAATTTGACAGTTAGTGAGAATGAGGGAGACAGAAAGGTCTTCCTTCCGTTGGTTCACCCCCCAAATAGCTGCTACAGCCGGAGCTATGCCAGTCCGAAGCCAGAAGCCAAGTGCTTCCTCCATGCGGGTGCAGGGGCCCAAGCACTTTGGCCATCCTCCACTGCCCTCCTGGGCCACAGCAGAGAGCTGGACTGGAAGAGGAGCAACTGGGACTAGAACCCGACGCCCATATGGGATGCCGGCACCGCAGACGGAGGATTAACCAAGTGAGCCACAGCGCCGGCCTGAACTGAGAATTGTTAAAAAAAAAAAAAAAAAATAGGAGTAATGATTAAAAGGTAACCAGCACTAATCAATTTATAGCCTATGACCCTTGCTCACTCTCAGCACCTAGCCCAATGTAGATCCCAGTGTTGCCAGGGCTTGTGCTAAGTCCTAGGAACATAAGAAGTGCTGCCATACAAGGGCTACTGGAGACAAACGCACTCAGCCAAAGTTTACTGGGGAACGAGGAAAATGAGTAAAATGGTAAGCAGGAAGTTATTCCCCAGCTGTCTACAGATCGTCTGTTTGACCCCTCAGGCAGTGGAATAAAGACTGCAGCAACGGAATCCCATATGGGCGCCGATTCTAGTCCTGGCTGCTCCACTTCCCATCCAGCTCTCTGCTGTGGCCTGGGAAAGCAGTAGAAGATGGCCCAAGCCCTTGGGCCCCTGCACATGGTTATTGGAGGATGTCAGAGATGAAATTTTCGAATCCTTAGACAATCATTTTAGTCTTCCTAATAAAGCTGCTTTACTTTAAAAAAGAAAGAAAGAAAGAAAAAAGACGGCGTGGGAAGGGCAGAGGGGCAGACATATTTCTTTGAAGGTAAAGGTAAGCAGCGTGCTTTATCCTAGGAGCTACGGACCAGCAAACATCTCAACGATTATCCTAGGTCTGCATTTCAGAACAGCCACTGACACTGTGTGGCAGTGAACTGGAGGAAACCAGACTCAAGGAAGGTTTTTTGTTAGACACTTTGTTAACGTAACAAGTGTTAAGAATGGAAAAGGATGACAATGGAAAGGAAAAGAAGCAGGTTAGCAACAGTGGGAGCAGAACTGACACAAGTTGAAGGAGGGGACAAGGATAAATGACTCCAGTTTCACTCTGGTGACAGGATGGCATCACTGACCAAGATGAAGAGGAGGCAGACTGGCTGGGGGCGCTGGGGGCGCTGAGCTGCTTTGCTGTGTGCTGAGTTTGGGTTGCCCATAGGGCTTCTAAGAGAAGACTTGATACGTGGATGGAAGTTCATTCCCAGTCTGGGCTGGGGAGACACAGTACAGTGGTATCTGCTCACGCCACACAGCTGAGTTATAACAACAAATACAGTACAAACATGTTCTATAGCTACACAGGCGGATGAGATGAGCTGGAACAACACCTGATTCTATACCCACAACCTTTCAGTACTAACGGCTGGCTAAATATCTTAAAATCAAAACTGTTTGGAAGCCCAGAAGTCTAGAGAATATAGACCTCGTTTTGGTTGTTCAGTTCAGTGGTCTCTAAGCATTGGCGTGCATGCACGTTGCTAAGCAGCCACACAGTACTGACGGGGCAGGAGACTTTGAAGCACCATACTGTCGGGGACCACTACACAGGCCTAGATTTGGGAGACCACCACATGGCCTGGTCTCTGCTGCAGGCACACTCAGCAGGACTGCAGAGGTGACTGGTCAGGTTATGTTAACAATGGCAAAGGTCGTTTGACATGCAGGCAGAAGCCGCTGCAGTAGACACTAAGTGGGACGTCCACCCCAGTGAATAACGAGTCCCCCTCCAGGGTCCTCCACACTGTGATTGTCCTCCTAATCCCAGCTTCCCAGCAAACACATCTTTCTCCTACACACCGAAACTCTCTGTTGGCCCGTCTCACTGAATAAACTCCCTCAACATACAATCCTGTTTTCACAGAACTGCACATTTTTTTGATTCATCAGCCACATCACCGTTGACAATACCTGGAGTAACCAGACATCTGGGCCTCTGCTTCTGCCTCCACCTTTGACAGCACACAGCGTCCCCTCGTTTCCCCACATTAAAATCTCTAATCTTCTCAGTCCGCTTCCTTACTCTGCAGCGCTGTCCCTTTCGGGTTAACCTGACCCCCGCCGTGCTGGACACAGCACCGTCCTGCAGGATCTCCTCCATACAGACTGACGTTGGAACCTTCCTGCCTCAACAAGATGCAAATCCACGCCTGGGCAGAAACAACAGCTGCAGTCATGAGTCACAGTGAAAGGCCTCCCTGCAGCTGGTTTGAAAGATGCTCCAGATCACCCGCAGGTGGTGCTCCCTGGAGTCCGTGAAAGACCTGACAGAACCTGCAGTCCCTTCTCTGAGAGTATAAGCACGACATGTGCAGGACCTTGTTCCTGGGAAGAGGGACCAGGGGGGGCTGGTGCTGTGCATAGTGGGCTAGGCCTCTGCCCGCAGTGCCAGCATCCCAGCATCCTGGTTCTAGTCTCGGCTGCTTGTCTTCTGATCCAGCTCTCTGCTGTGGCCTGGGAAAGGAATAGAAGATGGTCCAAGTGCTTGGGTCCCTGCACCCACATGGGAGACCCAGAAGAAGCTTCAGATCGGCCCAGCTCCAGCCACTGTGGCCATTTGGGGAGTAAACCAGCAGATGGAAGACCTTTCCCTCTGTCTCTCCTTCTCTCTGTAACTCTGCCTCTCAAATAAATAGATAAAATCTTTAAAGGGGGGGGGGGGCATGATTTTCATGTGGTTTTCAAAAGTATCCATACCCCCCTCCCCCCAAAAAAACTGAAAACCTCTGGCCCAGAAAAAACTGTGCTTGTTATTTTTATTTGCCTTTTGAGAGGCAAATAGACAAGACAAAAGCTATCTGCTGGTTTTCTCTTCAGATGCCCACGATGGCCTGCCGCCTCTCTGGGTCTGCATTAACACAAAGCTGGAACCAGGCAGAGCCAGGCCTGCAGGGCTGCAAGGGGACATGGACTTCCCACCTATAGCTTAACAACAAGGCCAAAGGTCCAACCCAGATAAGAGAGCATTTTATCAAGCAATGTTACCCAGGACATAGGTACCTCCAAAGTTTAATGTGATATGACATGCAATTCTAACGTATTTTAAGATAACACTGAAAATGATTTGCTTTTAGAATGCGTAAGGAGGGTTGGGAGAAACAAAACTATTTTAAATCCTGCAGGAAAGACTAGTGTAATGTTCCAAGTCAGTACTTGGCCACAACCACCTTTGCATTTTTGAATTTTTATTGATTCGATACAGAGACAGATGGGATGCCCAGGCATGGGTTTACCCCCCAAATGCTCATGATGGCTGAAGTTGGGCTTGCCTGAGGCCAGGAGCTGGAAGCCAATTCAGATCTCCCACACGAGTGGCAAGTACCCAACCACCATGGTAAACCACTTCCCAGGGTGCGCATCAGCAGGAAGCTGGAATCAGGAACAGAGCTGAGCATCAGACCAGGCACTCCAATACGGGAGGTGGTGTCCTGACTGGCATCCTGACCGCCAGGCCAAATGCCCGCCCTCTATCTCTTCATCTCATTTCTCATTTTGCTCAGCATGACCCTCAGACACAGAAGGCTATCTCTGCGACGTTCTCCTCAAGTAAACCTTGCTTACATAAACTACTTCTCAACATCGGCAGTCCTACCTAGAATGCCCTCCTCTTTAGCCAGACGAATTCTCTCTCTCCAAGATCCAAACTGACTTCCAGCAAATTCCCCCACTAGCCACAGTTCACAACTACCTTTTAAAAAAAATCTTGTTTTATTTATTTGAGAGGTATAGTTATAGACAAAGAGAGGGAGAGACAGAGAGAAAGGTCTTCCATCTGCTGGTTCACTCCCCAGATGGCCCCAACAGCTGGAGTTGAGTGGATCTGAAGCCATGAGATGGGATTCTGGTGCTGCAGGTGGAGGCTTAGCCCACTACACCACAGGGCCAGCCCCCACAACTCCCTTTCGAATGCCAATTTGCTCTCAGAACATCTCATTATTTGGTGGAGATTATGTTCTACTTTGAGTAATAGGTTATGTGTTTATATGTATATGTACAGGGGCCATTGCTGTAGGGCAGCAGGTTAAGCTGCCACCTGAAATGCCAGCAATCCCATATTGGTGCTGATTCAAGTCCCAGCTGCTCCACCTCCAATCTAACTCTCTGCTTATGTGCCTGGGAAAGCAGCAAAAGATGGCCCAAATACACGGGCCCTGCACCCATGTGGGAGACCCAGAAGATGCTCCTGGCTCCTGCCTTCGGTCTGGCCCAGCCCTAGCCTTTGCAGCCACTTAGGGAATAAACCAGCAGATGGAAGAGCTCTCTCTCTCTCTCCTCTGTAACTCTGCCTTTCAAATAAATAAATCAATCTTAAATGTGTATGTCCAGACCCAACTAAACCTGCAGAACTCTGTCTTAGTAACTCTCCAACCCAATGCATGGGACAGAGCTTTACAGACTTGGTTCCCAAATACCGGGCAGTGTCAAAAAGGTTCTACCTTCAGTCTCTCTAGCTCTACGTCTGGCTTGATGAGCTTTCCCAAGCGCTGGTTTTCCTGTAACTTCCGTTTTTTCCTTCCAGTGTCTGGACAAAGAATGGAGTTACACACTCGAACTGCAGTTTTATACTGGAACAAAGGCACAGCCATTAAACTCTCCAAATTCTGAAATGGCCCAAACTTTTCTCGGTGCTCTACAATATTGACGGACTTTCTCCCCCGGAGTAACTTGAAAGCTTCGAGTTCTTTGTTAGATGCTGTGTTCAACACGTGCAAGATGGAAGCCTGCTGCTCCGCAGAGAAGAGCTTGTCAAGTGCCTTTTCTGACTCCTGTGCATTTTCGTCGCAAAAATCGACGTTGGGAGTAACTTCCTGAGGTGTGGTGGATTTGTTCCGACAGCAGGAGTTATGTACGGCCTGGAGCAAGGGTGACCGCAGTGGGACTGGGAAGAGTCTCCATCTTCCTGAAAGGAAAATCAGCAAAGCATAAGTTGGTCTCTATTTCTTTTTAGCGTGAGTGGCAAGTGTAAACAGATTCTTCGCAAAGTTATACTGACTGTTCCACACTGAGTGGAACCCTATTAAAATCTCCTGGAGAATCATCTGTAAATTATCTTTAAAAGGCACATGTGAAATTTTTTTAAAATAGGCTTTTTGTTGTTTTCAATTTCTTAATTTTAATTTTTCATTAGTCTTTAACAGATTCAGTGTGATCTGGAGATACAATTCTAAGAACAAAATCATATTCTCTTCCCTCCCGTTCCCTCCCTCCCTTCCAGTCTTCTTGGTTTCTTGTTATTTTTAAGTCATGGGAGCCATCTTCTGATTTTGAGGGATTAATCCTAAATTTTACTACCTTTAAACTGTGCTTCATACCCATCAAGAAAGACTTGGTTGAAATTATTTAAACTGCTTAACGTTGTTGATTTTTTTAAATTTATGTTATTTATTTGAAAGGTAGTTACAGAGAGAAAAAGAGAGAGACAGAGAGAGAGGAGTCTTTCATCCACTGGTTCACTCCCCAAACGGCCAAACAGCCGGAGCTGGGCTGTCCCAAAGGCAGAAGTCGGGAGCTTCATCTGGCTCCACAGCTTTCCCGGGCGCACAGCGGGGAGATGGACTGGAAGTGGAGAGGGGATGCCAGCTTTGCAGGCCTCCTTGTTGTTGATATTTTTATCTTTAGAATCTTTTCTTAACTAATATCTCTTATGATGTACCTTCTTGGGCTACCACTTCCAATCCAGCTCCCTGCCAATGGCCTGGGCAAAGCAGCGGGTGTAGTGGCCCCTGCCACTCAAATGGGAGACCTAGAAGCTCCTGGCTCCTGGCTCACTGGCCACTGCAGCCATCTGGGTTGTGAACCAGTAGATGGAAAACCTCTCTGTCTCTCCCTCCCTCTCTGAAACTCTGATTTTCAAATAAATTATTTTTTTAAAATGTATCTTCTCTGACAGGTGCCATGGCACAGAGAGTTAAGCCGTCATCTGTGGTGTTGGCATCCCATATGAGCACCAGCTGGAGTCTCAGCTACTCTGCTTCTAATCCAGCTCCCTGCTAATGTACCTGGGAAAGCAGCAGAAGATGGCCCAAGTGCTTGGGCCCTGCACCTATGTGAAAGCCCTGAATGAGCTCCTGGCTCCTGGCTTGGGCCAGGCCAGACCACTGAGGTCACTTGGGGAGTGAACCAGCAGATGGAAGATCTCCCTCTCTCTCTCTCCCCACTCTGTGTAACTCTTTCAAAATAAATGAATATATATTTAAATGCATATATATTATATTTTAAATACATATTTAAATGTATCTTCCATTTTCTTTTCTTTTTAATGTTTTTTTTTTTTTTTTTTTTTTTGGAGAGGCAGAGTGGACAGTGAGAGAGAGACAGAGAGAAAGGTCTTCCTTTTCTGTTGGTTCACCCCCCAATGGCCGCCAGTGCACCACACTGATCCAAAGCCAGGAGCCAGGTGCTTCTCCTGGTCTCCCATGCGGGTGCAGGACCCAAGCACTTGGGCCATCCTTCACTGCATTCCCGGGCCACAGCAGAGAGCTGGCCTGGAAGAGGGGCAACCGGGACAGAATCTGGCGCCCCCAACAGGGACTAGAACCCGGTGTGCCAGCGCTGCAGGCGGAGGATTAGCCCAGTGAGCCACGGCGCCGGCCATCTCTTCCATTTTCACTAGTCTTTTATCACGTGGAACCAAATAAAATTAACTTTTTTAAAAGATTTTTATTTATTTATTCAACAGGTAGAATTACAGACAGTGAGAGAGACAGAGAGAAAGGTCTTCCTTCCATTGGTTCACTCCCCAAATGGCTGCCACGGCCAGCGCTGCGCCGATCCAAAGCCAGGAGCCAGGTGCTTATCCTGGTCTCCCATGGGGTGCAGGGCCCAAGCACTTGGGCCATCCTCCACTGCACTCCTGGGCCACAGCAGAGAGCTGGACTGGAAGAGGGGCAACCGGGACAGAATCCGGCGCCCAAATGAGATGCCAACGCCGCGGGCAGAGGATTAGCCAAGTGAGCCACGGCGCCGGCCCCTATTTTCTTTCTTTCTTTTTTTTTTTAGAGGCTTATTTATTTATTTGAAAGTCAGAGTTACACACAGAGAAAGAGAGGTAGAGAGAGAGAGACAGAGAGGCAGAGAGAGAGAGAGAGAGAGAAAGAGAGAGAGAGAAAGAATCTTCCATCTGTTGGTTCACTCCCCAAATTGCCGCAAAGGCCGGAGCTATGCCGATCCTAATCCAGGGGCCAGGAGCTTCCTCCAGGTCTCCCACGCGGGTACAGGGGTCCAAGGACTTAAGCAATCTTCTACTGCTTTCCCAGGCCATAGCAGAGAGCTGGATCGGAAGTGGAGCAGCCGGGACTCGAACCAGCGTCCATGTGGGATGCCGGCACTCCAAGCGGCGGCTTTACCCGCTTCGTCACAGTGCCGAGCCCTAAAATTAACTTTTCTAAGTTTATAAGCAATGTTTTAGCTAAGTGGCAGATTTAAGGGCCGTTTGACTTCCCTCTGTGCCACTTTTTAAGATTTCTACTACGGCTGTTCTTGCAAGCAGAAGAAACACTGTAGGGCCGATACTTCCTAAGGCCAGGGGAAAGTCACTCTGACACCGCAAGCACAGGGAAACACAGCAGCCCGGGAACAGTCACGCAAGCGGCTCAGAGTCTGAATCCTCCGTCCGCAACTCCCAGGGCGAGGAGGCACAAACTCGGAAGCCTGGGGGTCAGCTCGGCGGGGGCTCCAAGCGGGCAACCGGGCCATGAGATCTGACGAAAGAAACTCTCCAAGGTCAGGGGCTTATGGCAGACGGGAAATTAACCCTGCATTCCAGACGCCCTACCTCCCGCCACGAGGACCCGAGGGACGTTCATCCTCCTAGTGAAACCAGTCGGTTCCCACGGTCCAGTCTTCCTCCACTGGCTTCCGGTTCATGCGTGCTTCACCCAAAAGAGCCCGGCCTCCTGGCGGAAGCACGGTGAGCTCGGCAAAAAGATTCCGGACCAACGGGCGCTCCGGGGTCTGGCCAGAGATGCCGCCCTCTGAGCAGCAGGTTGGCGGTGGCCGAGCTGAGGGCTTCGCAGGCGGAGGCTGGACATGGGCACTGCCGGGATCCCAAGCCCTCGGGGGCCCCGCAGACGCTTCACTGCTTTGGAGATGCGTTCTCGCCAAGTCTGGTTCCTGATAGTCTCCGGGCTAGGAAGCGCCTGGGCCAGTCAGGGTCGCAAGGTGCTAACGCGGAGGAGTCTCCCTGAGATTATTCCAGCCGCATAGGTGGACTAGCACCTGCTGTCACAGAACTCCCCCGATCCGCGCTACTCCCCGCGCGCGGGAAGACGGTGGAAGAAAGTAGGCGTTTATTTGCGCTGTGCAGAGTAAGGAGTCGGCAGCTGTCTCTGAATTCCCAGACTGCCTGAGAAGGAAGGGCGGTGAACCGCCAGATTAACGTGGGGGATGAGCAGTGCGTGATCTGCTCGTGCGCGGGTCTCTGGTTGGTCCACTGCGCAGTGGTCTCCCTTGCATTGGTCAGCAACAGGAGGCAGACGTGTGTGTGTGTGTGTTTAAGATTTATTTATTTATTTGAAAGAGTTACACAGAGAGAGAGAGAAGGAGAGAGAGAGATGTCTTCCATCCGCTGGTTCCTCCCACGCGGGTGCAGGGGCCCAAGGACTTGGGCCATCTTCTACTGCTTTCCCAGGCCATAGCAGAGAGCTTGGTGGGAAGTGGAGCAGCCAGGACTTGAACCGGCGTGCATATAGGATGTTGGCACTGCAGGCAGCATCTTAACCCGCTACACCACAGCGCCGGCCCCCAGACGTTTTCTGAAGATGCTGTGACTGCGAAGTAGGCTCCAAGTAGAACATCTCAAAACATAGCGGTAGGATGTTAGCCTTGGAAGTGGAATTGAATTCTGAGTCTTGCCCTCAGGAATCCTGCAGGGCCAACCTGACCCTCTGCCACTCTCTTAATTTATTGAGTTAATCTTTAGTATGGAGTTGACGTGTGATGACCACAGTGAAGACAGAGGACCTGCAAGCTAAGGGAGAGACTGGGGCCTGATGAAGTCTACACCAAAGGCGTTAGGGATGGGGCTTGGTTTCACTGTTGTGATCCAGCCTGGGTGTAACGAGTGGAGTCTGGTGGGGTTGCCTAGACAGGGACGCAAATTCTCTTCTCTATGAGTGGAATGGAATAACTGGGAGTGATGGAGAGCATTTCAGAGGCTCGGCAGGGAAGCAGGGCAACAGGGGACTTCAGAAGGAGGAGGTGGCTTTGCACTGGCAGCAGTGTTCCATTTGGAATGGATGGAGAACAGATGGGTCTGGTGCCAGATTTGGTGGGCCCTTCTTTTTGAAAAATTTATTTGAAAGGTAGAGTGAGACAGAGGGATAGAGAGATCTCCCATCCACTGGTTCACTCCAGGGCCAGCCCAGGCTAAAGCTAGATACCGGGAACTCCATAAAGGTTCCCGACGTTGGTGGCAGGAACTCAAATACTTAAGCCATCATTGCTGCTTCCCAACCATGTTAGCAGGGAGCTGGAGTAGCCAGAACTCAACCCAGCACTACGAAGTGGGATTCACGTGTCTGAAGCAGCAGCTTAACCCACTGTGTCCCTGCTAGGTCCTTGAATGCAGAGTAGAACCGTTGATGGCTCAGTAGCTGAAACCACCAAGGTTTTGAGGTTGTGTAGTCAGACTGGAGATTTGTTTCTAGAAAATTGTCCAAATATAGCCCATGTGAGGCTAGATTGGAGGTAAAGAGCCTGGGAAACTCACGTGTCTCCCTGAGAGAGAGGCAGGAATAAGAAATTGTAAGGAGAGTGGAAAGAAAAGAATTATTTCTGGGAGATGGAGAGACTTTGGCTGGTTTTGTGAAAAACAGGGAAACCAGGCAGGAGGGCAATTTGACAGGTTTGTGTTTTTATGAGGAGGCAGTGAATTGTTTGTGTTGACATTGTCTAGAAGGCAGTGGGGATGTAGGGAATCATAAGCCTTAATAAGAATGACTCATTGGAATTCTGGGAATGTTAGCAGCTTCAGGGGCTCTTGGGAATCTAGTAAGAGATACAGTCAACTTTTATACAAACTCCTCCAAATCAGTAAGAAATAATTTCCTTTAACTCCAGGGCTTCTTCAACCTAATGAGGTGTTATTATTGAATTACATGCCTCAAAAAAGATATGTTAAAATCCTGACCCCAGTGCCTCAAAAGGTGACCTTATTTGGAATTAAGGTAATGGTAGATGTAATTTCTTTAATTTTTAGAATTTTCTTATTCACTTCAGTGTGTGTGTATAAGAGAGTGAAAGATCAGTCTCCCATCTACTGAGTCACTCCCCAAATGTCCACAGGAACCAGGACTGGGCCAGGCTGAAGCTGAGAGTTGGGAACACAGCCCATGACTTGAGCCATCACCCACTGCCTTCCTGGGTGTGCCTTAGGGGGAAGCTAACATCAGGGGCCAGCCAGGACTTGAACCCAGGCACTCGGATGTAGGATGTGGGTACACCTAGCAGTATCTTAACCACTATGCCGACATCCACCCCTAGATATAATTACTTAAAATAGAGGCACACTGGATCGGAGTGCTCGCTAACTCTTTGTTGAATGTTGTCCTTCTAGGGCAACGGGCATGTAAATACCATGCGGAGCAGCAGGCAGGAATTGGAGTGATGAATCTTCAAGGGAAGCAGGGATAGGCCGTGGTCACCGAAGCCAGGAGAGCTACATGGACAGACTCCCCCAGGGCCCTGATGCCTGCCACCTTGGCTGCAGACATCTGGGCTCCTGGCTTCGGGAGAATAACTTGCTGTTACGTTAGGCAGTCACTCGCGATCATTTGCCACAGTAGCCCTAGGCAACCAGTGCTTGTGCTTTCGGAGAGACGGAGACGGCAGGGTTTGCTAACTGCATCCCTTCCCGCAGTTCCTCATCCCCTCTAAACCTCCGCTTCCTCATTAGCAAGATGGAGAGTCCGGTCGGCACCCCGCAGTGCTGCTTGGAGGATTCAAGGGAAACTGGATGCAGAGAGGCAGCTCACAAGAAGACTTCAATAAAGATTTCTTTCCCTATTGCTTCTCGGCCTTTGGCTAAGATCGAGTATAAATATTACTTTCCCCATCAAAGTGCTCTCTCTTCCTGAGAACTAAATATTAGTGATGCTTAGGAGAAACGTCCTCATTCTTCAGAAAATTCATTCAGAATTGTTTTTGGTGAGGAAAGAGGTCATCGCTGTGCGTGATTCACCGTAAGCCAGGCTCCGTGCATTCAAAATGAAAGTCGTCGTCTTCCCCCAGACTCCAGCTGCTGCTCACTTCCCTGTTCTTACCCAGATGCAGAGGTCCCTGGCTCAGATTAATTAACTCGGGTTAATTTTGGGATGGAGAAAACAATAAAAATCAGTGCTCTGGGGGCCAGTGTTGTGGCATAGCGGCTTAAGCCCCTGCTTGGGACACCCATACCCCAAGCCACTTCCCATTCAGCTCCCTGCTAATGTGCACACTGGGAAGCAGCAGGTGATGGCTCCACTACTTGGGCCCCTACCACCCACGTAGGAAACCCAGATGGAACTCCTGGCTCCTGGCTTCAGCATGGCCCAGCCCTGGCTGTTGTGGCCATTTGGGGAGTGAACCAGCAGGTGGGAGATGTCTCTCTCCTTCTCTCTGTTGCGCTCTCTCTCTCTCTCTGCCTTTCAGATAAATGAATAAATAAATATATATTTTTTAAATTAACCCTCTGTTACTTCCTGACCTCAAGGTAAGCAAACACATGCAATACCTAAAAAGCACTGAAGAAAAATAGATAAATTGTATTTCATTAACGTTAAGAATTGTGTTAATTAAAAACACCATTGAGAGTAAAAAGGCTACAAAGTGAAGGAAGACATTTGTAATACTATAACTGAAAAATAATTTGTATCCAGAATATGTATTTGTCTGTGTATGTGTATATATATTTTCCTACAAATCAATGAGAAAAAGACAGGCAACCCAACTGAAAGATGGGTTTCCCAGGCGCATTTGCAGGGAGCTGGAACAGAAGTGGAGCAGCCGGGACTCCAACCCATGCCCATGTGGTATACCAGCACCGCAGGTGGAGGCTTAAGCCATTATGCCACAGCACCAGCCCCAGTTCAGTAAGTTTTTAAAAAGAAAAAAGCTTTGGGTACAGCTATACTTATTACAACATTATAAATCACAGCAAAAAAATTGATCACCATTTTATGTCCAATAATGAGGAGATATTTATATCCCATGAACTATTGCACTGCTAGGAAATGGCCTCGCAGAAGCAGGTGTTTGGCATAGAGGTTAAATGCCCAGCGTCTCGTACTGGAGTGCCTGGGTTCAATGCTTGCCTCTGGCTCCTGACTCATTGCTAATGCAGACGCTGGGACGCAGTGGTGATGGCTCAAGTAATTGAGTTTCTGTCACTCACGTGAGAGACCTTGGCTGAGCATCAGACTCCAGGCTTCAGCCCCTGCTGGGGCCGGCGGCAGGCATCTGCTGTGTGAACTGGCAATTAGGACTGCTTTCTCTTTTTCTCTCTCTGTTGCTGTGTGTGTGTATGTGAGTGTGTGCGCATGCATCTCTCTGCCTCTTAAATAAATAGATTTTAAAGAGTTTGGAGGAGTGATGTCATGATGCATCTCTAATATGATGCCAGACATTATGTAAAGGAAGTAAAAAAGGGACATAAGTTGAATGAAAAACATGATTCCAGTTATATTTAAATAGGTCTGAAAGACCAGAGAAAAATAAAAAAAATATTAAAATAGTTGGTAGCAGGACTATTAAAAGTGCAGAATTCAGGGTAGGCATTTGGCTTAACAATTAAGACTCCCCACTTGCGAGAGACCTACACTGAGTTCTTGGCTCTTGACTTGCCATGGGCATTTGGAGAGCAAACCAGTCAATGGGAGCTCCCTGTCTGTTTATTTTTTTCCCTTTATGTCTTAAATAAGCACAAATGTAGAACAAAACATACTATTAAGTAGAAGTGCATGACATTGCCATTTCTTTAAAAAAATTTTTTTATTTATTTGAAAAGAACAGAGTTACAGAGAGAGAGGGAAAAACAAAGGAAAAGATCCGCTAGTTCATTCCCCAAATGGCTGCAAGAGCCAGGGCTGATACAGGCCAAAGCCAGGCACCTATAATTCTATCCAGGTGTCCCACGTGGGTGCAAGGGCCCAAGTACTTGGGCCATCTTCCACTACTTTCCCAGGTGCATTAGCAGGGAGCTCGATCAGAAATGGAGCAGCTGGCACTTGACCCAGCACCCACATGGGACACCAGCATTGCAGGCAGTGGCTTAAACCATTGCGCCACAGCGCTGACCCGGACATTGCCATTTTTAAGTCAGTTTCATGTGGTTCTTCCTAATATATTGCTGAAAA